AGCCCCGGCGGGGGCTCGGCTCCCCCCCCCCGGCGGCCAGAGCGCCGGGGGCAGGGCGGCCGGAGCCCTGGGGGGAGGGCGGCGAGCCCCGGCTGGGGCTCGGCTCTCCCCCCCGCGGCCAGAGCGCCGCGCCGCCGCCCCCCTCCAAGTGCCGCCCCAAGCACCAGCTTGGGTGCTTGGTGCCTGGGGCCGGCCCTGGTTTTATCCAATATACATGAAGGGGCTGATCAAGAGTGGAGGAGTAAGATAATAAATTGTTAGACTGACATTTGTGGAGTTGTTACATTTGCTTCCTCTTCATGTAATTTTTAGTTGGTTAAAACAAATATACAAACAAAGCTATTCTTGTTCAAATTTACTTATGTCACTCAACAAACAATAATGAAAAAAAAAAACCAGAGATGGGAACTGTAGCCTAGGACTAGTGCTCTAACTTCTTAGCCACTCTGGTACCTATATAAATGGCTGGGCATACCCAATCCTCTTTCTGTTCCTGTTTTATAAACAATGAGACTACAGACTTTCAATTAAAGAACCTTAGACTGTCTGGCAGGTTTAAAAAGGCTTTGATAAATAGGGGTAAATTATTAAGCAAATATTCCACTTTATTAATAGGTATTTTATATGGCTAGTTTTATTTAGCATATTTTAAGTCATGAACAAGCTTCAGTTCTGGTTACTAACCTTACTTGAGCGCATATGTGGCATAACAGCTGTACAAATTATCTATACATTATTGGATTATAATTTGACTACACTAGTCTATCATTCATCAGAAGGTTGCACATACCGAGATGACTATTTATACCATTCTGAGCGAGCATGCTTATCTTAGATCTCTAATGTGCTTTTTACAGCATAATCTTTTTTTTATCCAGTGCCATAACACCTACCACAGTGATTGTTAGTACTGGCAACAATTTGATGCTGTATGTTTAATATATTTACATTTAAAAATTGGGGAGAAAACAAACGTTACAATACATTCACTTCAGAATCTAATAGTTTCTCAGGAATATAGTGATGTGGAAATATAAACTATTGACACTTGTCAAGCTGCTTAGTAGAGTTTGAGGATAAATTGCTAAATCAATCATACGTTCGTTCTATTTAAAAAAAACCCAAAACTTTTAAATACATCACCTGTAAAACCATAAATAGAAAATACAAGCTACATAAAGACATTTTCCTGAAATATGGCACGATGTAGAAGGTTTGCATGTCAGTACTCTTAGATTTAATTCATGTTGGGTATGTGCCCCAGGTCTATATGTATGTGCATATGTTATCAGGCAGGAGGATGTATGTAACACCCCAAAAATCTGGAAATGTGAGATGATCAGGCATTAACGCACACAAACAAGCACCTGCCTTGGTCTGACAGGATAATTTTTAACCATTAAAACAAGTAGCAGTTCCATCACCATCCCTGCAACTACATGCTGAGGAGAGTCCTTATTCCCGCATTAGGGCTGGGCTTCCCGAAGGGAAAAATGTTTTAATTTAGTGTAACAAGAACTAGCCTCTTGAGGTGCTTTTAATTTCATCATTTTTCTGGAAGGAGCAGGGACCCTATGTATTTTCACTGCCTTTTAAACATTATCAATCTTTAAAGACAAAAGGCCTCATAGTTACATGGGGTAGCTTTTTTTTTTTTTTTTTTTTACAGTTTTCTAAGTTAGGGCATTGGACTTGAACCAATGGACAGCATTATGTGGGTCTGAAATCCATTTTTGGCAAGAAACCTGTAGGCATGAGTGTAAGAACCTAAATAGGTGGTGGTGGTTTTTGCTCTCACCTTTTGTGTGTCTGGAAAAACAGTTCTAATAAGACAGTTTCTGGAGAATTTTTTATTATTTAAAGTCTCTGAAAAGGAGGAAAATGTGTGAACTTGTAAATAACTCAGATAGTATTTTAAACTTTTTAATCAAAATAGTGATAAGGGATTCTGCTCACTTTGCCTAATAAGAAAACAAACTTAAATATCAGTAGAGTTGTGCATCCCAATATTTAATATCTTCATTTAATTTAATCAGCTCCTCTTCATGACCCATTTTATGTAATACTACAAATCCTAACTTGTGAATTATCTTAAAATGCATCTGGTCTAGCTAGAGTGATGGAAGGTGGGAGTGGGACTTCCAGACGCATACGGCCTTTTCAATAAAACAGGAAGGGGGAGTGGTTTCAGGTTTAATGTGGCCACTTTCTGATTTTGAGTCTGTAGAATGAAAAGACATGTATTTAATGCACTTTACTGGCTATTGGCAGACCTAGGGGAGTGATGGTGGTGGTTATGATATAGAAACAAATGTTCTCCAAAATATCTGCATCAAAATTCTGTAATTTCTTATGACACTGCAAGCCCGACAGTACAGTGCAGAATTAATTTTAGTTCCTGGCTCTATAGACAATGCTACAGCTATCTTTTGTAGATAAGAGTAAAGAGAAAAATGTTTTAAGTTACAGAACCTCCGTTTTCATTATAATTTGGTGCTATTTGCACATCTTGTTTGCCAGATATTAACGTTTAGGTAGTTACCGTTCTGTTGTTACTTTACTTTGTTGATGTTGATGTGATGGGGTTCAGGCGATGATGATGAATATTCATAACTTAAGTCAAAGTAGTACGATGTAGTTATGTTCCTGAAAAATGCGACTTTAAGCGAAATGATGTTAAGCGAATCCAATTTCCCCATAAGAATTAATGTAAATGAGGGGGTTAGGTTCCAGGGAAATTTTTTTCACCAGACAAAAGACTATATATATATATATATATATATATATATATATATATATATATAAACACACACACACACACACACACACACACACACACACACACACACACACACACACAATAAGTTTTAAACAAACAATTTAATACTGGTACACAGTGATGATGATTGTGAAGCTTGGTTGAGGTGGAGGAGTCAGAGGGTGGGATATTTCCCAGGGAATGCCTTATTGCTAAATGAACTAGCAATTGACTGAGCCCTCAAGGGTTAACTCTCACAACACTCTACAAGGCAGCAGGAAAGGAGGGAGGGCAGACAGACACACACCCTGTGTGTGAGAGAAAAAATGTGTATTTCCCCTTTAAGTAGCTGACCCCAGGCTTAAGTACACTGCCTTGTTAATTAAATCAGCTTGCTGAGACCTGAGACCCGCAGCTACTGCCTAGAAGCTCTCTCCGTTGGTCGTGTGTCCCCCCCTGCTCTATGGAAGATGGGGTAAGCAGGGTGCAGGAGCAGGGGGGAGGGGGAGACACCCTGACATTAGCCCCTCTTTTCCCCCCCCTCTCCCCGTACAGCAAGCAGGAGTCTCTGGGAGCAGCTCCAAGGCAGAGGGCAGGAGCAGCACATGGCAGTGGGGGGAGGGACAGCTGCTGCACAGGGAATTTAGGGGAGTGGGGAGCTGATAGGGGGGCTGCTGATCCACCCTGGTTTCAACCACCCATCAGCTAGCTGCAAGGGGCTGCTCTTCCTGCAAGCAGTGGACAAAACAGGCGGCTGCCAAACGACATTAGAAGGGAGCATTTCACAACTTTAAATGAGCATTTTCCCTAATTGATCAGCAACTTAACATCGAAAGAACGTTAACCGGACGACTTTAAGTGAGGAGTTCCTGTATTTAATTTCCCCACCAGTTTGTTTTATTACTGAGTTAGTTATGTATTGATTTGTTAATCTGTTTATAGATTTGCTTTTTGCCTTTCAGGAAACTGTATCAGGGAAAAATTAGAAAATTCTTGCCTGATATTGAAGGTATACAAAATAAGTATTTAACATATATCTTATTACATTTTTTTCAGGGCTGCAATGAATACTATCCAGCAGTTAATGATGATTTTAAATTCAGCAAGTGATAAACCATCAGATAATCTCATCTCATATTTTAATGTAAGTGACTAGGGTTTTTTTTTTAACTAGAGTAAGCATTTATGAGGAAGTACCTATAAAATTATATCCTTCGGATTATCAACCAAGTAAATAGCATGTGTTCTTTACTAAAGGAGACCTAGACAGGACTTCTTAAAAATAGCGGGGATTGTGCCATCTTTTTCTGCTTAATTTTTACCTTAGAAATATCAAAAATGTCAACTCTGATCTTTGTAGTTTTTGATGGAGGATCAGTTCAAGATTTATGTTTCAAATATCCTGATGTTCAGTGCATTGTAAAACCAACAAGGACACAGGAATGCAACAGCACTTGTACCTACCATAAGTTATGAATATAAGATCTTTAGTACACATCTTAAGGACTCATGACAGTTTAAACATGCATTAGCACTGCTCTTTGAAAGAGCACTTGTCTTTATGTGAATTTTACAAGCACTTAACAAATTGTTGATATTTTGCTAGAAATCTTATGGTCCTTCAACTCTACTAAGATTAATTTATTTAGGGGGAAAAAACCAAATGTATTGCTAGAGGCTGTATTATGAACAGGAGACAGTTAGGTCCTGATTCAGAAAGATATATAGGATTTGTGTACATGGGAGGGAAGGGGAAGCCAGGAATAGCTAATGGTGAATACCTACTGTTCACTAACTCCCCATGTGGACACACTTATGCTGCAGTAAGAGGGCCTTTGTGCAATTTAGGTTAGAAAGTAGATTAAGCTAAAGCACACAAAGGCACGCTTATTGTGGAATAAGTGTCCACATGAGTTACTGCAGAATGGCTTTTGTGCTTTAAATTCATACCCTAGCTACTTTGCACTAATTTTGCCTTGAATTCCCCTTGTGGACAAGCTGTTAAGCATGTACCTATCTTAAAGCACTTAAGTAGTCCCATTGACTTTGTGTGAGTAGTTCCAATGTTTAGAATTAAGTATGTGCTAAGAGGCTGTCACAGAGCACACTCACCTCCAGACTGGCACCTCCTCCTTATTGTTCTGGGAATTGGGAAGAGGCTGATGCCCCTGTCGGTGGTCTGCACACCGTCACTCCTTCTCGGCAATCCGCCTGCCACCTCTTTCACAGCATCAGGAACCGCAGCATCCTCTTCATGGCTCGGCTCTCCGGCTGTGTTACTATCCATGTTCCCCACCACCCATTCCGGGGGAGTTTAGCTCCTAGTACAGCCAGTTCCCCAGCGGTCACTGCAGTCAATTGTCCCACCAGTGTGGGGCAGATGCCCTATCACAGATGCTTTTTGCTGAATCAGGCTGTAGATAGTGGATATTGCTGAGCATAAAAATATGACCACCTCCTAATCTCTCTTAAAGACTCACAACTACTTCTTTGTGTAGTGACCCTATGGGTTCTCCACTGTAGGCGAGCTTGCATCCATGCACTGCTGATCAGAGAACTTCAGTAGCAGTGTCCGTTATGCCTGCACATGCGCTCTCTCTCCTTGTGCCTTGCCATGAGGCTAGTCAGCATGTGTGAGCTAACCCCACTCAGTTCCTTCTCAACCACCCCTGGCTGGAGATGGAGCTATTAGCATTCTGTTAGCGACTATTACCTCGTGCTTTCTTTGTAGCCTAGAGCCTAGTTTTTAGTAATAGTTAGTCTAGCGTCTTTTATTTTTGACATCCTGTCCCCCCCCCGAATAGTTTTTTCTTCCTGCCCTTTCCATTGTGGGCCCATCCCCCACAACGGGGCATGCCTGATACTCTGGGATTCAAGAAGTGCCTTTCCTGCAACTAGGCTATCCTTGTTGCAAACGTGCACTCACAGTACATTTGTTGCCTCAGGAAAGGATACATTCCTCAAAAGTGCACTCTCTGTCAGCAGCTCAGACCTCAGTCTCGCAAGGACAGAGAGCTAGGGCAGAAAATCATATTTATGGACGCAGCTCTCAGACAATCTCCGGACCTGCATCAAGACTCTCCATGCAGATGTAAGTCTTCCCCACAGACCTCAACATCCAAGGGCCATTGGGTGAAGAAATCAGCCGCCAACCCCTCCATAAGTTGAAAAAGAGCACAGGAAGTCCCCACAGAGAGCTGTGAGCTAGCCACAAACAATCCCCGGCATGCTCAATATCCTGAGTAGCATCGGCACTGAGACAGACCAAGCCCGGTACCCACAGCCCAAGGAAGACTACAGCGGCAGGTACTGTTGACGCACCCACAGACCCATTGGGCACAGACACCAAGTCAACAGCACGTAAGAAGAAGAGGAGGAGCAAACATTCCACGGCACACTGGTACATGATGTCCCATCAGTACAGATGCCTCATCTGGTACCTGAATGGCCAGTGCGGACAAGAGTCTCCTCTCCTGGGCACTGGGACCTCTGCACTGAGTCCCTGCCTAGCACAGGAGTCTTCCCTTCTGTCTTGCCACGTCCCCACACTCTCCAGTGCAGACTCAGATAGTGAACTGGAGGAGGAAATATCTCAGTATTCCACCCAAACCCCCAACAGTGCCCGATACCAGCAGGGCCCCAGACATAACCTTAGATGGCCCCACCGCTGCCATTCTAGTATGGCCATCTATGGGCACCACCGCAGGCTCCATGCCACCTCAGCGGCCATACTGGGGCCCCTGGGCTGCCTACCATCTCCAGGACTCTCGGGCTTCTAGTCCCACCCATGAGCCCCCAAGACACACTTCCTCAACCACAGCATCCAGGGCTTTGTAGCTCCCAGAAGAAGTCTTGGAGGAGTGTGAGGGTGATGTCGAGGAGGAGGTGACCCCAAAAACCATATCCTCCTCCTCCTCCCCAGACGAGGCTGTCATGCCTCCCTAACCATCCCTGGTGGATGATTTTTGCCTGTTCCAGGACTTCACAAGGAGAGTGGCTGGCTGACTTTCTCCAGATACCTCTGGAGGAAGTCAAGGACATGTACCATAAGTTCCTGGACATGCTGCAGTCATCTTCCGCCTCAAAAGTGGCCCTCCCTATCAATGAAGCCCTTCTCGATCTCGCAAGAACCATATGGCAGACCCCAGCATCGGTCGCACTGACTTGCAAGTGAGCAGACAAAAAGTACTATGTCCTGGGGAGTGAAATAGAGTTCCTCTTCTTCAGCCCTCCACCTAACTCCATTGTGGTGGATGCTGTCAATTCTCGTGGCCATCAACACCACATGAAGTCCATGCCCTATGATAGGGACTGGAAGTGTCTGGACCTATTTGGAAGGAAGGCATACTCCTCGGCCACGGATCAGTTTTGAATTGCCAGTTACCAAGTGCTTATGGTGAAATACAAGTATGGGAATTACTTGAAACTGAACAATTTTACTGAGCAGCTGCCCAAGTCGCATCACAAACAATTTAAGGCCATCGTCCAAGAAGGGAAACTAGTAGCAAAGACATCGCTACAATCTGCCCTTGATGCAGCCAGTACTCTAGCCAGATCCATTTCCATGGTGGTGGTGATGAAATGTGCCTCTTGGGTTTCCCAAAGGAGGTGCAGGTAACCGTGGAAGATCTTCCCTTTGAGGGCACTAAGCTCTTCGTGGAGAAAACTGATGCCTCACTTCACCCTCTGACGGATTCTCAAGCACTCTCCCTTTGCTGGGCATCTACACACTGGGACAAAAGAGAAAATTTAGTCCACAGTCCCAGCATAAGCCATGCACTTCCCAATACACAGCTCAACGATACTAAGAGCCACAGAGGAAAAAAACTAAATTCTCTAGATGTAAACATCCGGCCAGCAATCTTCCTTGTCCTAGCCTTCCACATCCAAACATCAATTTTGTCACGTTGGTTGAGGTGCCAATAGACCACACCCTACAACTGCTACATCCAACCATTGCTAATCCACCTATTTTGCCACCATCTGGCAGCGTTGTGCAGTACCTGGGGCGCATAACATTGGATCAATGGGTCCTAGAGATAGTTCGCCTCAGTACTCTATCCATTTTACTCCTTACCCCCTCCACAACACCCTTCCATGTCCCTCTTCAGGGATCCTTCTCATGAGAGTTTCCAGTTAAGAGCCGTAGAACCAGTACCTCAGCATCTGAGACAAAGGGTTCTACTCTCGGTATTTCGTAATACCCAAGAAATAGGGGGGCTGGAGACCCATATTAGACCTCAGAGCTCTCAAAAAGTTTGTCAAAGCTCAGAAATTCAAGATGGTCACTTTAGCAATGATCATTCTGGCGTTGGAACAGGGAGACTGGTTTTCGGCCCTCGACCTCCAGGGCGTGTATTTTCACATCTCAATCTTACCAACTCACAGATGATTTCTCAGATTCATCCTGGGACAAGATCACGACCAGTACAGGTTACTCCCCTTCATGTCGTCTTCAGTGCTGAGAGCATTTTCCAAGGTTCTCTCAGTAGTGGCCACCCACTTATGCTCGCAAGGGATCATGATTTACCCTTGCCTGGATGATTGCCTCCTCAGAGCCTAATCGCTCGAAGAGGCTCGCCGAGTCATCAAAGTCACACTGCACTTGTTTACAGAGCTTGTTTACACATCAACCCTTACTCCAATACCTCGCCTGGAGTTTATAGGCACCATCCTTGACTCTTTACGTGTCAGGGCCCTCCTACTTCAGCACAAATTTCTCTCTCTGGCCTCACTAACCTAGACCATCCAAAACAGCCCACAAATATCAGCCAGATACTGCCTACAAACTCTTGGGGCGTATGGCAGTGGGCACAACGGTAATACCACATGCCAGACTTCTCATGCGGTGCCTTCATATGTGATTCAGCTCAATTTACAGACCAAACGGACAGACTAGACAAACCCCTGACACTGCTCACCAGGGTAGAAAACCTCCCTAGACTGGTAGAAAGACTCAGCCAACATTTGCAAAGGGATCCCCTTTGCGCAAAATCCTCCATTGTTGCGTCTCGCCACCGATGCATTGCTTAGGGGGTGGGGTGCACATCTAAACGGCCTTTATGATACATGGGAAATAGTCACTCACAGAGAGATCCCTCCACATCAACCTCTTCGAGCTAAGGGCAGTCAGGAATGCCTGTGCCCATTTCTTCCCACTGATCAAAGGGCCACACATGAAAGTTCTAACAGACAACGTTGCCTGTATGTTCTACATAAACCGACACGGTGGAGCCCGGTCTCCCTTCCTCTGTGGGGAAGCGATGAGACTATGGAACTGGTATATCTTCCATACCGTCAGCGGCCTACCTCGCAGGTACACAGAACTTGATGGCAGAGAGTCTGTCACAAATTCCCTCATGACTACGAGTGAGAGCTAGACCCAGCAGTACTTCATGATTTATTCAGGTGGTGGGGGACACTGACCACAGACTTGTTTGTCACTTACCTGAACAAGAAATGTCCATGTTACTGCTCCAGAGTGGGGATATGACATCACTCCTTAGGTGATGCTCTCCTCCTCCCCTGGGACAGGTACCTCCTTTACGCCTTCCCTCCTTTTCCACTAATATCAAAGGTCCTTACTGAAGATAAAAAGAGATGGAGTACATGTCATTCTGATTGCCCCAACGTGGCCAAGACAGACGTAGCATCCCTATTTGTCACAGCTCACAACGTGCCCACCAATCTCTCTCCTCCACATCTCCTCTCACAGAACAGAGGACATAGCACACATCCCAACCTGGCAATTCTTCACCTCAAGGCATGGCTCCTTCTTGGTTCCAATCCCTAGAGAGCTCCTGTTCAACGGTGATGCAAGAAGTATTATTACACAACAGAAAATTCTCGATATGACGTACTTACCTGCAAAAATGGTCCAGATTTCGGATTTGGTGTATGTCCCAACAAATCTCCGTGACTCTTCTGTTACCCACACAAAATTCTTTGTTACACACACTCTAAGGCACCCAACTTTACCCTAAATTTGTTGCCAGTACACTCTTGGACATCCCACCTTTATCTAGTTCCTAGGGTTCCAGGCTTCCATCTCTACCTAGTTCCTAGGGCTCAAGGCGTAACCCGGTTGATTTAGGCACCCCCAATCTTTCCCAGTTCCTAGGGCTCCAGGCGAAAGGCACCTAACTTTACCCCTCCGTGGGCTCCAGGCTCTACTCCTCTGTGGAATCAGTGCAAAAACCCTTTCCCTGTGGACTCAGGGCTTGATCCTTTGCAGGTTTACAGGCTCTTTCACCAGTGAAAGAGCCTGACCAGTAATATCTTACTTAACCTCTATTTATTAACAATCACCAAAACAGAATGCACACACTAAGCATACAATGCTCACCACTCCCAATCAGTCAGATGAACTTTTCCTAATGGCCAGTCAGGATCAGGTCATCTGGGGATTCCACCTTCTGCACGGTTATGATTGGCAAGGTGTTGACGTCTGGCAGCTCTGATCTTGTGGCTGTGTCCTGGAGTTGGTTCCAAAGAACTTCCTTTTGGAACGCAGTTTATAGTGAAACTTGAGCCTTGCTTAGCTGTACCTTAACCAATAATTTTACTGAAATATTAATAAACAATTTTTTAACCAATCCTAATACATTGTAAAACAATTCTTTAACCAATCATACCCCACCCCCTTCCTTGATTTACACCTAGCAAAATTAGTTATGTAACAGACAGAAACAATCCAAGAACCAGACAGTGACCATCTAGATGAACAATAGAGAAGTGGGGACCATAAAGACAAAACAATAATAAGTAGGGATTTCACAATCACAACTGTTAAGTGATTTCTTGCCAGACAGAATGCCATCAAACAAAGTTTTCTTTAATTATCTTAAGATCTGTTTCTTTATCTGGTGATGATGGGTATTATTAGGATAGGATCGCCTTCTTAACAGCCTGATATTACATTGTTTTAATGTAATTTAAATGGAATGTGAGGATGCAGGGCCGGTGCAAGGATATTTTGCGCCCTAGGCGAAACTTCCACTTTGCCCCCCCCCCCCCCCCCCCCCCCCCCCCCCCTTCCCCCCCCGCCCCAACCCCCCCCCCCCCCCCCCCCCCCCCCCCCCCGTAACATCGGTTCATTGAGGGGCAAATCCCAACGAGCCTTTATAGACCCCAGGGGCTAGCCTGCCCAGGGGCCAGTCGTGTCCTGGGGCTGCTCCCCAGACCAGGTTCCCTCCCACCCCCTGAACTCCCCTGGAGGGTGCACAGCCCCCCCCCCCCACGAGCCCTCCTCTTTAAGGAGCCCTGTGAGATGTGACTTTCTGCTTCTGGGCTCATGGCTGCTGTCTCTTAATATGGCTGCAGAAAAAGGCCTCAGCCTTATACTTCCACACAGTCTCGACTATGCCCTGGCACTGAAAAGATCGTGGCTGTCCATAAACCCTTTTAGAGTCCACCAAGTGGCAATAACAGCCTTCCATCATCCAGTGGAGGGGTACTCAGTGCTGTCACACCTGACCAGCAAAAGTTTCCTCTAGGGTATTGTAAACCTCTTCCCACAAGCTTGGTCTCCTACTCCCACGTGGGACTTAAACCTGGTACTGAAAGGACTGACTAGGCTTCCCTTTGAACCCAGACCAACTGTTCGCTTACTTACCTCTTGATGAAAATGGCCTTCTTGATAATGATTACTTCGGCCAGTAGACTAGGGGAAATAGTGGCTCTGATTGTACATTCCCCATATTCAGTATTCTTTGGGACAAAGTTATCCTCAGACAACATCCAAAATTCGTTCCCAAGGTAACCTCCCCGTTTCACATGAACCAATTGATTCACCTTCCAACCTTCTATCCCAAGCCTCACCGAGACAACAGAGAGGCTATATTACATACCCTAGATCTCTGAAGAGCCCTAGTCTTCTACATGGACAGGACGAAGGCCTTCAGGAAGTCCCCCAGACTTTTCCCCTCCATTGCAGAATGATCCAAGGGTTTGGCAATATCAGCCAAAAGACTTTCCATGTGGGTCTCGAAATGGTATCAGACAAAGTTCGCATTATGACCCCTCCGGATACTATCTGTACACATTCCACAAGGTCAATCTCCTCATCCATCGCCTTCTTCAAGAATGTCCCTATCTCAGAGATCTGTAGAGCAGCGACATGGGTGTCAGTCCACACTTTCGCAGAACATTATGCGATTGCTGGGGATGCTATCTTCGGCTCCACAATGCTGTCATCTGTAACTGACACGACTCTGAAGTCCCAGCCCTCCAGAGGGAGGATGTGGAATGTATACTGCTTGGGAGTCGCCTATAGTGGAGCATGCATAGGGACACTACTCAAAGAAGTAGTAGTTACCTTCTGCAGTAACAATGGTTCTTCGAAATCTGTGTCCCTATAGGTGCTCCACAACCCACCCTCCTCCCCTCTACTTCAGAGTTTCTCTCAATGACTCTGTGGTAGAGAAGGAACTGAGGGGGGTTAGCCCACACCCACTGGCTAGCCTTGTGGCAGGGCATGAGGAGAGAGAGCACATGTGCAGGCCTAACAGACACTGCTACCAAAGTTCTCCAATCAGCAGCACAGGGACACAAGCACACCTACACTGGAGCACATACAGGGATACACATCTTGAAGAACCACCGTTACTGGGCAAGGTGAGTAACTTCTTCCGTAACCATACTGATGACCTAATTAATATAATGGTGTGCTACAAAGCTGAAGTGGAAAAATATTCTTGGTTAACTTGTAAAAACATGTTTTGATATACCTAGTTAAACAAAATATCATTTTTCTAATATGTTTCAGAACTGTACAGTGAACCCTAAAGAAAATATCCTGGCAAGAGTAGAAAATCTTGGGAACATCTTCAAAGAGAAATTTGCTGAAGCAGTTGGACAGGGATGTGCTGAAATTGGCTCACAGGCAACTAATATTTTGATTTCATATTATTCATTTGAATGCTATCAACATTAGCTAATGTGAGACAAAATGTACTTACCAGTGTTTTACTGTGGAGATTGGGAGTGATAAAGTAATATTTTCTCAACCTGGGAAACTGGGCATGTAACTCTGGCAAGGCTCTAAGATGCTATTTGACAAACAATTCAGCATACATAGGAAGGTCTAGAAAGAAAAAAATGCATACACTTAAAAATATTTTAAAATAACGTTATTTTAATGAAGCATAGGAAAATTACCACGAAGTATTTTAACATAGTTGAAACTGTACTTATATAGTTACCCATTAATCTGCCCTCATGAATAGGATTACTGAACCTTTAAATGGACCTGGTGGCCTATTTCCCATCCAGTCATCAGGCCACTTGTATTTCCCTACAGTGACTTGCATAGCAAATTCACCCAACTTAGCTCGATATCTTCCAGCTGTCAGCTCTGCTGTCTCATCTTGGCAACTGAAAATTGACCTCTGCACTTTGACTTAAACATCTTCTTACAACTTCAGTCAGTCACGATCCCCAGTAATCCTTGGAGACCACTCTAGCACCACTGGCCAACTTCGCTGGGACAAATCAGATTTTCTTTAAGTGGTCCCAGCATGCACGTTCTTTCCAAAGGATGGAAGTGTATTTTGGCTTTGTTGTGTCAGATTTCAGTGACAATTTTATATTATGACTTGCAATAACTTTGTGTAATGTTCTTGACTTTCTTCATTTTTAGAGATATAAACTTGGTGTAAGGCTATACTACAGACTAATGGAATCCATGTTAAAGTCGGTAAGTTTAATGAGGATGCATTACTCTTAATACTTTGCTCCTTTTTGAGCAGTATTTCTTAACCTTGTGTTTGTTCATCTATTTCAGGAGGAAGAGCGCCTGTCAGTTCACAATTTTAGGTATATGTTCCTAACTCATAATAGAAAACCATTATTGGTGTGCTAAGACTAGTATTAAAGCCTGCATTTTTTTTCTTTTTCAGCAAACTTCTGAACAATAATATCTTCCACACATCTCTTCTGGCCTGTGCTGTTGAGGTTGTCATGGCTACATATGGCAGTAAGTTGAAGCTATAGAAGTGCAAGATACCATTGCTGTTGTTTATTAGTAGTAATAGCTACATAAAATTAATTAAATTAGTAATTACATATGCACATTAAATTTAAGTATCTGAAACTGACAAGTAGCAGTAAATGAGTAAATACAGAGGGGAAAATTTGACAAGAGATCGTATCACTTTAATATTGAATAACTAGTTCTGGTCTTTTTTACTTCAGGGAATGCTTCACAAAGTGATGGCACCAGTACTGAAACGGATTTGTCTTTTCCATGGATTCTCAATGTACTTGATTTAAAAGCCTTTGACTTCTACAAGGTGATTGAAAGCTTTATTAAAGCAGAACCAAGCTTGACAAGAGAGATGATAAAACATCTAGAACGCTGTGAACATCGAATTATGGAATCCCTTGCATGGCAATCAGTAAGTAATATTTTAAAATAAGTAAAAATGTGTTTGTCCACTTAGTGTGCCTATATGGAGAAAAGAAATTATACCCAACTCCATTAGATTATATATAAAATTGTATTATTAAGAGTTATTAGTAATAAAATAAATCACAAAACCAAAATTAGCTTGATTTTACATGTCTTAAATGATAAACAGAGGGCCAAATTCTCACTGGTTTAAATCAGTTTAGCTTGACTGACTTCAATGAACATATGCTGGCTTACAAACATCTGAGGATCTGGCTCAGAATATTTTAAATGCACTACTCCAAAACTATACATAATATTTTGGTGCCAGTAAAAACAGACAAAAAAATAAAAGCATAACATTTATTAATTCATGTTTCTTTCTTGATACTTTTTGCTCCTATTCAGAGCCAGAGTGTTAGTACAGTACTTGGATATTATTGTTGCTGAATACTGAGTTGCCTTGTCCCCCCCATACTTGGATCAGTTTAGATTTCTTGGTAGCTCTGTGCTGACCTGATCTTGAACAAACTGGTCAATGGTAGTAAACTTGTGATATTTGGTACATATTTGGTTTCAGGCTTGTAATGAAGAGTCAGCTTAATATGTCAAGGGATGAGGACCACTATGGAAGAGTCTGTTCACTGAAATGTTAATGTCTGGTGAACAACTTTGTGTAGCTTGTTTTAAATGAATCATAAACTTGCAGCTCTTTCCTTTACAATGTTACAGAATTTGCCCCTTACAATGAATGTGATCCTTGGATGTATAACTGAAGGAGTATAGAGTAGAAATAGGGAGGTGTTGTTACTTCCACTGTATAAGAAATCAATGAGAACTGTACTGAAATATTTCAGTACATTGTGATAACACTTTAAAAGGATGTTGAGAAACTGGGAAGGATTCAGAAAAAAGCGAGGCGAATGCTTTGAAGTCTTGAAAACCTGCTTTACAGTGAGAGACTAAAGAAGCTTAATTTATTTAAGAGAAAGTTTTAAAAGACGATGATGATCAGAGTCAGTAAGCACTTAGAAGGCTCTTCAGTCTATTAGACCAAAGCATGACAATGGCTAGAAGCTGAAGTCAGATAAATTCAAATGAAAAATAAGGAACAAATTTCTAAATGATGGTGATTCGCCATTGGAACAGACTACCAAGGGAAATGTTGAATTCTCCATCTCCTAGTGTCGTCAGATCAAGACTGGATACTTTTCTAGAAGATATGCTTTAACAGACTAGGTACCTTTTAGTTTGTGCTAGCAGGGTCTACATGGGGCAGTTAGAGCGCAACACATTAGAGCGATCTACAATCAAATCCCTGTAGTCTGGGCTGAGGTGCCGTGTGACGAGCCATGAGTGAAATGTAATGGCCTGTGATGTACAGGTGGTCAGACTAGATGATCCAGTGGTCAATCCCTTCTGGCCGTAAACTCCTTTGTGAGTTTTTGAACATCCAAAGTCTGAAAGATGAAGTTAGAAAAATTCAGACTTGGAGCATGATGCAAGTTTTTAGCAAATTAACAGTTGGAACAACTTAACTAGAGGGATGTTGTGGATTCTGTCATTTGAAGTCTTTAAATCAAGGTTGGATGTTTTTCTAGAAGATATGCTCTAGCTCAACCAGAAGTTACTGGTTTGATACAGGAATCACTTGATGAAATTCCGTGAGTAGTATTATGCAGGAGGTGGTATATTAGTTTAGATGGAATAAAGGGGCTCAAAGAATCAAAGGTGTTAACATAACCTAGTCACTGTCCAACATTAAACTAGTTTTTAACAAGGTTTTGATATACAAAATGCTCAGCCTGCTTAGTATCATGGTGCAAACACCATTAAAAATCCTTTTAACCTTTTATGAAAGATTTAAAAGAAGAAAGAACAGGTGTAAAGCATGTGAAATATAAAGTATTAAATAAGGCTTTCGTTTTAACTACGTCCCTTGTTCTTTTTCCCTGTAGCTGGAGAGAGTTTGTGAATGAAAAATTCTCTTGTTTTGACAGTCTTTTAGATGGTATCAAAGATGGTAATAACTGTCCTTTTGAGGAAAAGATGAAAAAGATAGTTGAGGTGGACTGGAACTGCTGTTGTTAAAATCCAAGCTTATTTCCAAGAAGACAAACACTCAAAAGGGGAGAGAGAAGAATAGCAAAGACAGAAAATGCAGCTTCTGTCTCTGATGTTCACTCACTTGCAACCTCGCTGCTGAAAAACACGGGCGCACACATGGTGTTATCAGCCACTCTGAGATCTGGCAAACTTGTACCAGTATTTGACAGTTTAGGGCATTGCTTTTAGCTGCCTCTTTCTGGTCACAGGTTTACAGCAGTGTTGCAAAATATGCAGTCTTGGCTGGCTAAGCCAGACTCTTATTAGACAGAAGGAAAAAAAGGGAAGGATAGGAAAGAGAATAATTAAGGTGGGGAAGGAAGAGAACATACAAAGGGGAGGTGGAGGAGACAATCTCACATCCAGGTGATATTTGGCATTTAGCCAAAGCTGATGGAGGTGGCGATGGCGATGTCATCTGGCTCCTTCGCTCTGGCCCGGTCAGGTCAGTACATTTTTCAGGATTAGAATGAAGAAGGTCCAGGGTCCCGGGAGACAGTGGGGCTGGCAGCCATGATGGTAAAGCTTGTTCCTTCCCCTTCTTTTAGTTAACCGGCGTAGTGGTGGCCTCCATCCGTTCATCAATATTTTCCTATCAAAGTCAGTCTCTCTCTCTCTCTCTCTCTCTCTCTCTCTCTCTCTCTCTCTCTTTTTTTTTTTTTTTTTAAGGACCCAAAACGGAGTGATGAGCAGGTTAGCCCATCCTCTTATTATTTTGTGCACTGATAGGCCTAATTTCCAACACCAGTTTTGGTTAATTGTTTTTTGGTTTTAAACTGTCTTGTTTACCAGGCATAATCTTAACACAGTCCTTGAATTATATGAATGAGCCTTTTTGTTTATACCAATTTAGTCTGTCTTTCTTTGCACCTTTTCCCATTGGCATTTGTTGTTATAGGTTATTGTGACATTTTATGAACTTTTATTCGCTTTTTACAGTTGAGCTTACAATTAGGGTAAACTGTAGACCCAATTATCACAGCAGACATTAAAGTGAGTAATCACAGTAGTTCTTCCTGACCTGAAAATCTATGAACTTTGTATATTTTAAAAAAAAAGACATGTCAGTTGAGATGAGGAACAAAGAAATGGCTGACCTTTGAAGATGCTATTTGGGGCTGAGGTTACCGAACATTGAGGAAAGTTATAATTTCATTAGTTAGGCGGTAAAGATAGGAAATTCAGAAGTGCTGATCATTGGCTTAACTGTTTGCATTGGAGATAATGATTACTATTAACCTCAATTGGAGCAAAGATAGGCAAGTACTGAGTACTTTTCAAAAGGCTTCCCCCGCTCCCACACAAAGACCACATTTCCTTTTGTAATGAAAACTAGATCCAGTAAAAAGAACAGGAGTACTTGTGGCACCTTAGAGACTAACAAATTTCTATGATGTCATCATAGGGCCTAATCACATCATAGGGCCTAATCACATCAGCCATACCATCAGGGGCTCGTTCACCTGCACATCTACCAATGTGATATATGCCATCATGTGCCAGCAATGCCCCTCTGCCATGTACATTGGCCAAACCGGACAGTCTCTACGCAAAAGAATTAATGGACACAAATCTGACATCAGGAATCATAATACTCAAAAACCAGTGGGAGAACACTTTAACCTGTCTGGCCATTCTATGACAGACCTGCGGGTGGCTATCTTAAAACAGAAAAACTTCAAAAACTCCAACGAGAGACTGCTGAGCTGGAATTGATATGCAAACTAGACACAATGAACAAAGGATTAAATAAAGACTGGGAATGGCTGAGCCATTACAAACATTGAACCTATCTCCCCTTGTAAGTATTTTCACACTTGCTTCTTATCAAACTGTCTGTACTGAGCCATCTTGATTATCACTTCAAAAGTTTTTTTTCTCTTACTTAATTGGCCTCTCAGAGTTGGTAAGACAACTCCCACCTGTTCATGCTCTCTGTATGTGTGT